CATTATTTCTACTGAATTCCAATAGATTCCTTGACTAATTGGTGAAGAAAACCATCTTAAATAGTTTCCAAAAACCTTTCTCCCTCACGATTTGACCCTAGCATTTCTCAATATGTATGCTTGAATTCAAAATCACCCATAATTATGACTTCATTAACTAACAGAAACCCAAATGGATTCAATCTCCTTGCTATTATCTTTGATATGTATTTGACAGGATGTAACTCAAATTTTACATATAAAGCCACTCCTCCCCCTCTTTAGTACTCTATCCTTATTAAATATCCTGTAACCCTGTATTTCAAAGAAATTTCTGTCATCAAAATCATCTACGTTTAACCATGTTTCAGTTATTACCATTATATCAAAATCCTCCATTCCTACCAGTACCAGTGCTCCAAAGTCATCTTTTTCTTATACTTCTAGCATTACAGTAGTAACAATTAGGCATACCTTATAACTACTTCTATACTTATTTCCTATGCTAAATTTTTTTCTGCCTCTTATTCTTTTTACATTCAGTTTTTCCTGGCCCTCACCAATGTCTGGTCCTAGTTTAAAACTTCCCTTGCAGCTTAGTTAATAGCCGTAGCAAACAAGCCAGCCCCTACTCTATTTAAATATAAACCATCCATTCCAAAAAGTTCCCTTATTCTACTGAACTGATCCCACAAGTCCAACCACCCAATCTGCTCACCCTTATATACTAACCTAAGTATGGCATTTAGACCTAGTAACCTACTTATAACTTACATCCCCACAGTTAATTATGGGCAGTATACCCGACAAAACGTTATGGCTTTTTTCTTTAAATGCCTTTATTAACCCCTTGTACTTATTAATTAGTTCCTCTGACCTACCTTTCCCTACATCATTAGCAGGGGTGGTCTTAGTTATTCTGGAGCCCGAGCAGAATTCAGTAAATGGGGCCCCAGGCAATTGCCCAGTTTGCTCAATAGGTAAGACCGCCTATGATCATTAGCCCCTACATGCACCACAAAGACTGCATCTCTGCTAGTCAAATTTATTATATCCCCTGCTCTGTCAGTTACATCCTCCATTTGTGCTCCTGGGTAGCATAATCTGATTCTTTTCTCCCTATTTACCACACACAATATCCTATCCACGTGCCTTGTCAAGGAATCACCTATAACATCCTTATCATCAACATCCTTCTCTGACTCTTTTGTTTTCCTTCCTTTAATCTCCACTCAGGAACGTAACCAGGAGGGTCTTAGTCTGTGTGTGTGGAGGGGGGGGTGTCGAACAACAGCACCAATATTCTAAAAAGTTTACCAGGTCCACTATCTTCTAGTTTTTTGAAGTAAACACTTGACTTTCATGTAAATCACTTAAAATCTTTGTACAGAAGAAAAGGTCCACATCTTTTTTTGGAAAAATACCCTCTCTCCCACTTTGTAGTGGTGTCTACGCCCCTGTCACAGTGCTACTGTTTTATTACAATTGGTTACAAAGAAAATAGTATTACTCACCCTTACTCGACAACGTGCTTTCTCCACCCCTCCTGGTTGACCTGCAATTGACACCTATAAAGGACAATGGATATTAACATCAAAATCTACACGACATAGAAATATATGAAATAAGAGTTGGTAAACTACTTGAATATAATAATATGAGAAACTTCATCGAAATAAAATACCAAAGTTGCATTTGTATTTAAATGTCGCAATACCAAGATTTTTATGAATTTTATAATGCTGAAAAGAACATGCATCACCTGCACATCAGATGCACTAAATATATGTTTTGTGATTACTGAATATGGTTTGGCATTGTTCTTTCTCTGAGAACAAAGTATTTTTGAGAAGTTTAAGGTGAATTTGGTTAATTCTTCACATTAAACATTTTATAGTCCAACCTATTTTACTAAATTAAAGCGTAAAACACAGTGTTTTAGCTGTAAGTTGCATATTCTTGAGTACTTGTCCACGTTTATGTTTTTCTTAAGTTTAATGTAAATTGGTGGTGTTTATTAACCGAATAATCTCTTAGTAATCTCTTATTTTTGTAATATGGGAATGTGAAATTTAAGGAATGCCTCTTCAGATCATAAACAGTAACATCCAGTTGAAAAATACAGCTCATTCCATATATCCCTGTTTTATCTAAAATAATGCTTTACTTTTTTCTCCAATCAGATTTAACTCATTGCTCATTCTTTTGTATAAAAAGTACTAATGACTAATGCGATATACAAATACAGATGGTTTGGGACATTATAATAAAATTATTTGAGAACCTCAACATGTCATTACAGTCCATGTAGCAACATCCGTGTATCTTCACAATATCCCTGCAGTGTAGTTTACACAGCAAAAAGCTCTGTTGTGAGGCTGCCATGTCCAAAGCACACCAGACTTTCCATAATCCATCTAGTGCAAGATAACGATGGCTTCTCAGTGCTCTTTTCAAATGTTTGATCGCAGTATATCTTCATTTGGAATAGCACGAATACTCGTTTCATTCTCCATCTGCTTGAGATATAGGACAGTTGAATAGATATGTCATTAAATCAACTTGTGTAAACGTGTTTGTGTCACTTTCTCAGCTGGAGATCTTTCTTGATCATGTTGCATACTATTGCTTGAGATACGTGGTCAGCTTTTGTCAATGATATTTGTTGCGTGAATATTTGCCTGTTAGAAAATGCACCACTTTGCTTACTATGATTGGGGTACGACTTCTTGTAGCTCTTTTTTCTGGATGGCTCTGGTACTCCAAGTTGCCCCACATTTCTTTGTTTTCAAATATTATTAAGTGCAATGGTTATACCTGTCTTGGAAATTCCAAATAACCCATCTGGACACATATTTATGATCTGAGTGCATGAATACTTTGCGTCAGAAATAGCAGTTACATGCCCTTCCCAAAAGCGATCGATTTTTGGTGACATGACGCTATCTATACAACGCCAAATAATATTAAACTTTAGTTTTTATACATACCATTACACTGTTACTTTGTAGCTCCTTGCTGATTTGAAGATATCAAAATCGTTTTAATGTAACGTATTTAACCTTGTATTATATAAATGAAAGGAGTGAAAAAAATCTGAAAAACAAATACTAATTACGAGAAAAACGGTTGGTCAACATTTCAGTAACCTCATTTCTAGTGTCTGACAGAATACAATTGACATTAAGCTAACCCTACTACTTATACCTGATTACTCTTCTCAGTCAAACTGTTACGGTTGGAGTCAGGGAAGTGGATATGGCAGCCAGTTTCGTCCATTACTCTCTGAATGTTTTTCCCACCTTTTCCAATTATATGGGAATGGTCAGTATATGAAATGTCCATTTTTATAGTAATCCTGTTCCTCTGCTGTAAAGAACGGTTAATAATATATAAAAACCACTTCACTTCACCAAAACATTGATATCAGTATTTAACATGTTTTGCAATACATGTATATCGTCACTTGCATCGAACAAAAAAGCAGACATTAACATCAGGTAATTCGGAGTTTCGTTAAAACCATTCTGAGATATGGGCGTGTTTATCTATACATTTGGCAGTGTTTGCTATATCTCAGTCAACTTAACAATGCAAGAATAATGATAACTACTGTAAATCGACCTGTAAAGTATTTATACTAGGGATGTTCAAAAACAATAGGAATTTTATTTTCATATGATCACGTCTTCGATTGTGAAAACGTTAAGAAAATAACAGAAAATGAAGTTCGGTCGTTGAATATGAGGTGATCTAAAAGGTTAGATTACAACCACCAAATGTACTCTGTGATGTGGGAATATAGACATCAGTTTTTAAAACAGTTCCTCTCAAATATGATGCGTTTCCTCCACTACACTATGAGCTTCTCCACATCACTTAGATAAAATGCAGTTACTATATTTTTAAGAACAAGTTATTTTGGAAGTACTAGCTGCGCAGATTGTCCCTGAAAGTAGATTGGAAGAAAGATTGTTCGTCCAAATTCCTCTATCGCAGTTATTGGACTGTACTTTAAATACAAATTATAATTGTGTCGTATGTCTTTTATCGTAAAAATGCATAACATATAATGCTACTATTAACGTGATCATCCCTTGGCTACATTTTACTCGTGTCCAGAATAAGAAAAATAAAGTTGGGCTATTAGTTGACGTGTTTGCTCTGTGAATCTGAAGTTGTATGGTTCGCTTCCCATTGCCACAAAACCCCCCTCTGCATCTTGGAGTTGCGAGTATGCTATAAGAGTGAGTGTCAGATCACACTGTCTAGTAAACAAAAGCAGCCAAAGAGATGGTAGTAGGTGATGTTGACTAGCTGCATTCCCTTTAGTCTAACAGTTCGAAATTATGGAAGAGCTACGCACAGATAACTCTTTGTATAGCCTTGCGTGAACATTCTGAAACAAAGAAACGTGAGAAAGAAAGTCAGATTTACTTTACTAAATTTCTAGTATTCAATGTTTTGTATAATTCATGAAAAATTCGAGAAATCTTAACTTATTTTTCGCTCTCTGTGGCGCATTGGAGGAAAAACTAGGTAATTTTTTTTAGAAAGTTAACATTGTAGAAAACTTCAGACAATGTTACTGGACCAGAATCGGGATGTAAAATATATTCTGATTTAAGAATGTCTCATTCAGGTAGTAACTTAATAACATTGTATTTACTTATGTTTATGAAACAATGCAAACAATATTCAACCAAATAATAAATAAAACAAATTAGAATAAGCTTAATTAGCATGTGCATTTATGAGCAAAACGTTTGAACCAAGCGAAAAAAAATATCACATACATGAGAAGATAATTATATAATGTGTTTACAACTTTTCAAACTATTATAAATTTAGAAATAGTTATATGTTTATTCTTTAAATTAACCTCCTTTGGATCACAACAATACTTAAAACATAGTCAGTATCCAGTGTTCCTGATGGAACGTGAAAGAAAATAATCAACATTAGAACAGTTCAGTGATATATTCTCATATGCAAGGTATCAATTAATCAGTCAAAGCTCATATACACATTCATTGCTAGATGGTCTGCTAGTATTGCACGATAGCGGAAAATAGTTTAAAAAAATGTGTTCTGAAAGCTTTAGCACTGCACACACAACAAATGTTGAGATTTCATAAGTAAATGTGTTACGATCACCTCATGTGAAGAATGAACAAAATATGTTCTGATGGTTATTCTTTTATTATATTTTATTTGTAGTAGAATTTAGTTTTATCCATTTGTAAGAGCACTAAACGATGGCTTGTAATAGTTAAATTTTATACAAAAATACCTTAATTGGTATCTGTACAGTTAAAAATAAATTGGGTTGTTGTTGTTGGTTGTGGGTTTAATTGCGCAAAGTACCAAAATCAACTGGAACAGCAGATAAAAGATCACTCTTATCATAAGACATAACTTGTGTTCATAACGTTTATTGGTCTAGTAAAAAATTTTATGGCTGGGAACATTTAGATCATACATTACTGTGAAGTTTAATAATAATATTCTGAATTAACAAGTTTACTAACAACCTGATAACTTTTATATTTGTATTGCTATCTATGCCTTAAATACGGTTATCCCTGCAAAGTTTGAAAACGAGATGAGGGTTCTCTGTATGCAATTATAAACCGGAATTAAGTAAATGTTACCCAGAATTTATAAACCAGAAAACCCATGACACCCCATAATCTCTGCTTGAACTACCCGACTGAATTGATCTCCACTTAACTCGAGAGTACTTTCAACCTCTTGTAGACACCATCTCTACATGTGTTAAAGAATAGCACTCACGCTCTTAATCTTTTTAAAACGTTTGACTCTGCTACCTCCATTAATTATATCTTCACTATGGACATACAGTCTCTATACACCGTTATACCACCCAACGACAGACTAACCGCCCTTAAACATTTTCTTGACAAAAAAAACAACAAAAAAACAACTTGTACCCCCCAACAAGCATATCAACAGCTAAAAGGAGTTGCCATGGAAACCAAAACTGATCCATCCTATGCAAACTTTTTGTCGATTATTTCAGTATTTTCACTCACACACTTTTCATTCACAATATCGAAATTTACCACCCATTACTTAAATTTACTACTCAGATTTCTACTAAGAATTCCCACTTTTTAGACATCACCGTTGACATTTCCGTATTAGCGCTTACCACTAGCGTACATTACAAACCTACTGACAGCCATTCTTATTTAAACTTCCATCCACTGAAACCACACATACTATTCCCAAAGGACAATTTATACGTCTAAGATGTCTATGCTCTGACAAGACTGACTTCAGGTGTAAATCAAACAACATGACTAACATTTTAATCAACAGGACTATCCTGTGAACATCATCGATAAGGCTAAACTCCACATATTCAGGCTGACTGTCTACACTCCAATGATAAACCACCTACTGACAGAGTTCCTTTAGCCCTTTCATTCCTTTAAACAAAAAGATTAGCAGAATTATCCAACATAACTTCACTTTACTAATAAGAGTCTGCAAATCCAACAACATACTTCTATACCTTTAATTTCTTTCAAACGCGAGTGAAACCTAAAAATGTTTAGTATATTTTAGATTATACACTGAACTGACTTTTTCCACACAACCCAATGGAACTCGAGCGTGTTGACGAACTATTTGCTTCAGATGTGACTATATCACTGACTTGTCCACTCTTTTCAGCATTACTTTCATTTCCACGAAAAAAGGCCAATTTACCTGTACATCAAAGTGCATTATTTATTACATTTGCTGAACTAGGTCAAACAAATCTATATTGGAGAAAATATCCGCAGGTTAGGTGATAGATTTTGCGAACATCTTCGACTTATACACAACGCAACGGCACAATCGACCACCCAATCCCTAAACACTTTAACTTCACAGACCACAACGGAATTGATTAAATGAGTGTACTTGTTTTACAACATGTCCCCAGAACAACTATAATCGCGAAAGCCTAGAACAGAAACTTATATTTCACTTAAATTATTTGACACTTAATGGTATTAATCAAGGTTTCTCTTTCAAATAATTACAGCTTCCGTTAATATCTCTTGTATTGCACCTTTTATGAACTTTTTTTTTACAAATGTTATCACTACTCCCCAATTTCTCTGTATAAATAATATTCACTTTTGACTTTCTATTTCATTATGTTATTTATATATTCTTGCAATTGTGTAATTGTTTGATGAATGTTCTTATGCCCACTCTGCCAGGACATTTTAGTTACCGCTATATTTTATTTGTTGTATGACAAAGCCAGTACGAGGGTTGTCCGAAAAGTTCTAGGCCAGACCTAAAAAAAAAATTGGAATGTATGCTTTTTTTTCTTATAAGTACTTAGTAAACAACTAAATTTAGTATTGAGTAAACAACATGTAACATATAACTTAACGAACTTATTTTGTGTGTTGCGGATTTCTGAAGAAAGGAGGTGAGAAGTGTTAAACGTCATGAGGAAGATCGAACTTCGTACTGTGATAACATATTTTTTAAAAAAGAATTGATTGATTGAAGTTAGCACAAAGTTACACAATGGGCTATCTGTGCTCTGCCCACCACGGGTATCGAAACCCGGTTTCTAGCGTTGTAAGTCCGCAGACATACCGCTGTGCCACTGGGGGGCTTAAAAAAGAAAACGACACCGAAAGAAATCCACCAAGACATGAAAGCAACATTAGGAGAGAATTCTCTAGCATATTCAACAGTGAAAAGTGATGTGCTGAGTTTAAGCGCGTTCATAATCATGTGAAGATGATCTGAGATCAGGTCGTCCCTCAAGATCGACCACAAAAAAATTGCAGACAAAGTTCATGATTTCGTTACATATGATATAAGAATTACCATTAGGAAGTTAGCAGAGGAAGAGGGAATCGGTAAAAGTACTGTAGCAATCATGTTGAGTGACAGTTTGGGCATGAGTAAGGTTAGTGATAGATGGGTTCCAAAAATGTTGTCACATGAACAAAAAGAGATCCGACTTGTTGAAAACCAGCGCCTATTCCAAAGTTTTCAATAGATTCGTAACTATGGATGACACATGGGAGACAAACATGCAAAGTTTGCAATGGAAATACCCAAGGTCACCCACCCCGAAGAAGTTCAAGTCACAACCCTCTGCTGGGAAGGTCACGGCACCACTTTTTTGGGGATGTCAATGGCGTTTTACTAGATTATTATTTGGAAAGGATTCACATCATTACAGAATATTACTGTGCATCCTTAATCAAAGATAACAGGATTGTTTAAAAAGTGTTCTATTCCATCAGAACAAAGCTCCAGCTCACAAATCGCGTTTTACTTTGAACGCTATCCATGATGTTGACTTCGAATTACCCAATCACTCCCTTACTCATCGGATTTAGCTCCAAATGACTTTTTTTCTTCCCTAACCTTAAAATCTTTCTGAAAGATCGGAGATTTCAGAGTAACGATGATCTTGTACAAACTGTCCAGTCATGGATTGAGACCCCCCCCCCCCATAAAAAAAGGATTTCTTAGAGCGCCGCTTAGAGGAAATAAATCATAGTAGAACAAGTCTCTTTTTTTATAGGTTGGGCAACGGACTTTTTGGTCACCTCTCGTACACACAACAATGTTTTCTCTAACTACCAGTATATTTTTATGAATTGTAAACGTTATGCATATTCTGTAATTTTAAAAGCTAAGACTGGCGAAGTGGGTATTCCCGAAACATAGCTAATAAAAGAAACGTTTTGTTATAGACGTGTGTTTTAACTTTTTACAATATCTCTGGCCACATTTCTCCACGTCTTGCGAACTTCTTCTACAGTGTGTTTTTAAGAAAGTGCTTCACTTATAACTTCACCTCTACTACTGCTTCCTCCTCTCCACCTTAAATTTGTAAAAATCTTACATTTTCAATAGTTATGGTTTACAGACTTAAGAGCAACCAAATATCAAACAGCACCAAAAACATTTTCAAACAAATTCTTGGTAATGGCATAAATGTTTTTGTTTAATAACTTGATATTTCAAAGGGACACTTAGCCAACTGGATAAGTATTAAGTACTGCAATTCTGGTGGTTCAAAGCAAATTCTTGAAGAAGAACAAAATGAGCAAAGATTCAAACAGAAATGTACAATAAAAAATACAATATTGTTCACACACACAAACAGATGCTGGTCTTACTCTTTTTAACATAGTTTGAATCAATACCTCAGTCCAACTAAGGTTACATACTACAGTGGCCATTGAAGACAGTTTGTACTCACCTGGCCAAGTTATTGTAACTTTTCTTGTCTGTGGCAAGACTCATTCCCAATTGAAGTGGGGGTGCAGATTTGTGTACAGATCTATATAAGCAATTAGATAATATATTATAAAATGAGTTAGGTAATCTGGAATTCTTGGATAGTGGATATCAACACAACATTTTCTGTCTTTCTTTTGTGAAGAATTTTCTTCTTCTCCTCTAGCAGTCCAAGTTTAAACCATGATAATGATGCTGGTTAACTTGACTGTTGAATGTTAACGCCTACCTAAGTCCTGTTCGTAAGGATGTTAATTAAAGGTAGCACAGTTGCTCTAAGTGTTGAATAACTTACATGAGCGTGCTCTGTTCTAGAAATGAAAGAGTAAAGTATGATAGTTTTCAATTGTCATAGAGATAGCTAGATTTACAGCTACATTGAGCATTACCTTTCATGTTGTTTTTTTTTTAATAAGAGTTGTGTGCTTCTAAGATTTATAAGAGAAATTATGTATAAAAAGGTACGCACAAAAACAAACAACTTTTGAAACACCTTCTAAAATATAGTTTAAAAGAGACTAGTTTTTAGGTCGATTAAGATAAAATGTGTATTGTTTGCGAACTTTGTCCTTGTCCTAGGTTTCAAAATTTGATGTTGCAAGATGTCCGATGTTCATTACATATTAACAAATGGTAA